GCCCCATCTTCCTTCTGAGGAGTGGCTGGTGGGTTTGAATCGCCAGCCTTCTGGTTAGCAGTCAAGTGCCTTAGCCACTATGCTACCAGAGCTCCCTATCAGATAAGGACTTTTTTATTTAATCATCACCATACCATTATTCCACCCCAAAAAATTAACCATAATTTCTTAATGTCTTATAATAACTAGTTAATTTTAAGTTTTTTCCTATTTTATTAAAAATAAAACAAAACACCAACAGAAAAACCCAAAAACATTTTAATCGATTATTTGCCTCAGGATCTAAACAAGGTCTATGTTGATTCTTAAGCTTCATTTAATCTTTGTTAATTTCTCCTTTTCATTTTCCATTTATTTAAAGAAAGTGAATCATATTCTGTAGAATTTCTCATGTTCTGAATTTGATTGGTTGTGTCCTCATGGTCCTGAACATGTTTTTCCATCCCTCTTATTTCCTGTAAACTGATAATTAAAGAGGCTTGATTAAAGTCAGGTTTAATTTTTTTGTTAAGAGTGTTTCATTGATGGTGCTGTGTACTTCCCGTATCAGGAAGAACATGCTTGATTGTTTTGTGCTTTGTAATGCTAAGACTGACCAATGGGTACAGTTGACTTCAGCCAGATTGATCTATTGTAAAGTTCCTCTTACTGGTTTTGGTAGTCACTGATGCTTGTTGGCCAGATACAGAGATTTCTGCTTCTGCAATTCCTCCTGCATTTATTAGCTGTAATTTTTTCATCGAATATTGGGTTATCCCAAAATGGAGTCCCTACTCTACCCCTTTTTTAAATCAATTTTCAGAATAAGAAGTTGGCCCTTAGCAACCTGCAAAGGTGACCAGTCATTGTTTTTTTTAAGTATCATCTGAATTTATAGATTTTTATATTTTTGATGTGTTTAAATCATTTGTAGTCATTCTTTATGATGCTAGAATTATCTCATCTTTTGTCAGGGAGAGGCTTGTCATTTGGCTCTGTCCTTTTGACATGACTCCAGTATTCTTGTATAGCTTCTTTGCTTTCAGGATTTCTAAGTAGTATTTTTTATGAGAATTGATACTAAGAGATCACAACTTGAGCATTTGGAGCATTTATTATTACTTGGGATTTCATTGTTTCTAGGCCTTTCAATGGACAAAACTAGTAAACACTTTTTTATTTTTTTTTTTAAGACAGACAAAGTATTGAGTTTTCAGTGATATTTCCACTTCAAATGAAAGATTCCATATAGCATTTTAACTTTGATTTTATATCTTAGTACCTCTTCTTCTTACTCTAAATATATTGGTTCTTTGATGACATTTCTTTGTTTATTTGCTATGTATATTAAATAATTCTTTAACAATATCAGTATTAAAAACATTTGTCATGGAGGTGATCTGACGCATGGTGACCCCATGTGTGGAAAAGTCGAACTGTGCTCCTTAGGGTTTTCAGTGGCCAAGTTTGCAGAAGTAGATATCCAGGCTTTTTTTCCAGGGCACCTCTGGGTGGACTCAGACCTCCAGTTTTTTGGTTAGCAGCATTATTTATTGGAAAAACAAGACAAAACATTTACTGTTGGTATCACTTCAGGGGCTCCATCCCAATTTTACTGCTAACGGTATTGTTGTTGTTGTTGTTATGTGCCATCGAGTCAGCTCCGACTCATAGCGACCCCTCCTTGGGTTTCCGAGGCAGTATCACTACAGAAGTAGAATTGCCCAACCTTCCTTCCGAGGAGTGGCTGGTGGATTTGAACCGCCAGCCTTCTGGTTTGCACTCAAGTGCCTTAGGCACTATGCTATGAGAGCTCCCACTGCTAACAATAAGATGCTTATTTTTGAGATATATCCCAGTAGAGCTATATGATCAATTAACTTTGTTTTAAACTTGAGGTAATTCATTTTTGTTATGGTTATTGCCGTGAACTTGAATACTAGTTGTTGTTGTGTGCTGTCAAGTCAATTCTGATTCATGGCAACCCTGTAGAACAGAACTTCCCCATAGGCTGTACATCTTTATGGTAGCAGATTGCCAGGTCTTTTTTCTCTGCAGAGCCTGGGCTGGGTTTGTACCGATAACCACTCAACAACCAAATGCTTTATCAGTTGGGTAGGATTTATTTTTGTAAATCATGTGAGGTGTAAGTTCAGTTTCATTTGTTTCCATGTGAATATTCTCATTCCAGCATTATTTATTGGAAAAACAAGACAAAACATCCTCTCTTTTGCCTTGATACCTAGATCATTTATCAGATGTCCATACATAAGGATTTGTGTCTGGTCTCTGTTCTGCTCAGTTGGTTTGTTTTTATAAATAAATTCCACTATCTTCTCAACTTTTCATAGTCCAATAAGTCTTGATGTGTTTTAGAGAAGTTTCTTGTTCCTTTTATTTTTCAAGAATAGCTTGGTTATTAGTCTCTTGCATTTCCATATATATTTAAACATGAGCAAGTAAAGTTATGTATATATGTGTTTGTGTATATACACACATACACACAATTCCTGTTGATTTTTTTATTGAGATTACCTTGACTCTAAATCGTTTGGGGAGAATGATATCTTTACGATACAGAGTCTTCTATATGATCATTCTGAATTATCGTTGCATATCTTCTTATTTATTTCATGGTTTCACATCTGTCTATAAAGCTTTATGATTTTCCCTTCAGAGAATCTGTGCATCTCTTATTGTATTTATTGTTAGCTATTTTGTAGTTTTTGAAGCCATTGTATATGGAATCTTTGTTTTTTAAGTTTCCTTTTCTAACTGCTATTACTTTGTATGTGGGTATACAGTTGATTTTGAATCTCACGATCTTGCTCAACTCAGTTCTAACAGCTTTTCTGTGGATACTTTCAGTTTTCTGTATTCACGATCATATCATTTGTGAATAACGAGTTTTGTTTCTTTCTCGCCAATCCTTACACCTTTTATTTCTTTCTCTTGCCTTACTTCTCTGGCTAGGACCTCCAGTACAGTCCTGAATAGAAGTGGTGATAGAGGACATCCTTGTCTTGTTCCTGATCACAAAGGGAAAGCTTTCAGTGTTTGAACATTAAGTATGATGTTTACTGAAGTTTTTTGTAGATAATCTTTTTATAGATGAAGGAAGTTCCCTTCTATTTCTGGTGTGCTAATAAGTAAGAATTTGTATCTTTACTGGATGTTAAATTTTATCATATACTTTTATTGAATCTGATGAGATGATAGTTTTTTTTCTTTTTTAATCTGTTAATGTGGTGAATTGCATTGATCTACTTTTTAATACTCACTCAGCTTTGCATTCTTGTAATTAACCCATTGATCAGAACCCACTTGGTCATGGGGATTTTAAAATATTGCTGTGTTCAGTTCGTTAATATTTGGATCAGGATTTTTGCATCTTTGTTCATAAATGTGACCTTTAATTTTCCTTTCTTATAATGCCTTCGTATAGTTCTTGAGTCTGTGCTGGCTTTGTACAATGAGCTGGAGATTTTTCTCACTTTTTGTTTTTTCTGGAAAAACTTGCACAATGTAGCTCCTATTCCTTTCTTAAATGATTGATATAATTCATGGGAAAAGCAATCTGAACTGGAGGATTTTTTTGGGGGTGTGAGAAGGCTCTTACTATTAAGTTTCTTTAATGGTTATAATAATTTATATATAGGAATATATAGGGAACTCTGGTGGTGCAGTGGTTAAAGCATTTGGCTGCTAACCAAAAGGTCAGCAGCTTGAACCCGTCAGCTGCTCTGTGGGAGAAAGATTAGAGAGTCTGCTTCTGTAAAAAATTTACAGCTTTGCAAATCCTGTGGTCGGGAGGCAGTTCTACTCTGTCTCATAGTGTCACTATGAGTCGGAATCGACTCGATGGCAGTAGGTTTCTTTTTCTTCTATATTACCTATATTGGTAAGTTGCAATTTTTAGCATTCTATCTAATTTTCAAGTTTATTGGCATAAAGTTCATAAAGTAATCTTATCTTTCCATTGTGGGCAGGATCTGTTAGTGATACTTTCTTTTTAATATAGCTTATTTGTGCTTCCTCTTAAAAAAATTAGTTTTGATCACTTTTGTCAAATGTTTTTCATATATATTTTTTTCTACTCACAGGACCAATTTTTGGCTTTGGTATTTTTCTACTGTAGCAGTTTTTATTTAGGCTTTTTGATGTTAGGACCCCTTCATGTTCTTAAAAATTATTGAGGATACTAAAGATCTTTATGTTGGTTACATCCATTGATAGGAATTATAAATTTTTCTCAGTTTCTGAACTAAAACTTAGAAATATAAAAAATACTAATTCATTTACAAATAATAGGAATAAATCCATTGCATGTTTATATAACATTTTTTTAAATGAAAAATAACTATCTTTGAGATCAGATTTACTGAGATGAATGGCATTATTTTGCATTTTTGCCA